AACTATCCTTTATCAGTAAGATTATCTTAACTCACTTCAACACTATTATTATTATTATTGTTATTATAACTATTACTATTGATATTAGTCTGTTTGCAATTCTTGTTATATTCCCTAATGACTAATTGTTTATCTAAGTGATGTAATTGAAGCGTAATGCAATTTATCTTAATTTTGATCTCTCATACTGTCGCTCTCTCCCCTTATCTATTTGAACATGACCTGGAAAACATTCTCACCCCTGTCTTTCTGCATGAATGATTCAATGTAGTTTGTTTACTTATCAGTCTTATATCTCTCAATGTAATTTCAACAGGTATATGTATATCCGTGTATGTAGAGTAGTATTCAGTGGCTGATGAGTTCTACTGAAATTTGATGAATTCATTAAATCCTGCTTTAATAACCTTCACTGCTTGTTTTAGGTCAGAGAGTTGGTGGCACGCAGTGTCACGATTTGCACTTCGAACAAACTACAGACATTACTCAATATATTTATTCGCTCACTACTACTCAAGTTTAGATGGCCGTCGAAAAGAATTTAGCAACTTGGATGTATGGCAATGAACGAACCAAGACAGTTGGAATCAGTAGTACAACAAACATGCAGGAAGAAATGGAGGTGAATTGTTTCTTGGCCATACTATGAGAAAACAAACCATCAAGTGAGTAGCATCACACGATAGGCCATCACTCGAGTGGAATCTGAATAGGAAGTGGCGAGTTGGTCGTCAGTGAATGGGTGACTCGGATGATGTCATGTGATGAGAAGATGAAGATCATGTGGGCAGGTGTGTGCAGTCAGGTGAAAACTTTAGCAGAGAACCGAATGCACTGAAGAGGTGGTCGGCTGAAGCCCTATGTTCCTTTAGGAATTAAGGGAAATGATAATAATAACCTTCTCTGACTGCATACTGAAGATCAAATGGCCTGTCGTCTGCCTGGCTGGCTAGTCAGTAATAATCAAAAATGAGAAATTCTGGCTGAGAACAAGCTAACCAATAGCCGATTGCGCAATATTTGTGTCGGAGAAAAATGGAGATGGATTAGGCATACGTTGAGGAGACTGTTAAATGGTGTTCCTCACACTACGCCCGCTATTGCTCGAGTGGAATCCAAGTGGGAAGCGACGCGGTGTTGCCATCTTCATCAATTCACAATGGTGTACGTCTAATAATGTATGTTTCAAATTCTCTAGTGACAATATTGACTGTCTCACCGTTAAGTGTCGACCTAAACATTTGTCTAAATACAACTACATTTACATCTCGAACATGTATATTGCTCCTGGATGTAACTCCACAGAATTATCTTTATTTGCGGATGAATTTACTTCGCTTGCTGCCACCTCCTTCGGAAATTCCTTGTCTATAGTTACTGGTGATTTTAATTCTAGTGACCACAGCTTCCTAATTTCACTGGGACACGATAATACTGTCAACTTCCCGACTAGAATGGACAACACTCTTGATCTTGTGTTTACAAACGATGCAGGGATATTTGAAGCTCGAAAAAGAGCCCCACTACTAAATTCAGATCACTGTATCATAAGAATATTGCCCAAAGTATATGGAAAGCAGCACAAAAGGGTCTTCTCATACCTTGGAAAGAAAACACAACACAGATGTTATTCCCATGACAACATACTGAACCTAAGGTCCATGTTAAAAGACACAAACTGGGATCTATTTACTGAACAAGCTCTTGATAACACAATTGCCAACATAACACATTATCTTAATTTCTGTCTTGATGTTTGTTGTCCAAAAGAGACAATCTTCTTAAAATTCGATCGCTTCTCCTCTTCTCAACTCAAAAAGCTCCGCCGTGAAAAAGAAAGGTTCTTCAAAATGAAAAACAAATCTGGTGTTAAGAGAATGAACACTTTGATTAAGCTTGAATTACAAAGATTGAATGCTCTGTATAACCAGAAGTTTCTTTCATGTAAATCCCCATCAAATATGTGGAAGTTATTAAAGGAAATCACAGGTGGTAAGCAAATGTTGAATGATATTTCTGTAGATGTTAACATGCTTAATGAATCCTTCATATGTATCCCAGCAAATGTTATGATTCCTAACTCAAATAGTGTAAACAATGACTGCTTCTCATGCTTTAACACGAATGATGTCCTCAAGTGTCTTCAATCTCTCAAGCCTACTCAGTCCCTCGGTCCTGATGGTGTTCCTGCTGTTATCCTTAAGGAGTGTGCCGACATCTTGTGTTCCCCGCTAACTGACATTTTCAACGAATCGTTTTCCAAAAGTATTATACCTGAATCATGGAAAAACATCAAGATCGTTCCAGTGCCTAAATCTACAAGTGGACCTAATGTTAAGTTTAGACCCATTTCAATTACCTCACCCTTTTTGAAAGTTATGGAAAGACTTATTTTACTTAATCTTGATCCCTCTTTAAAACCTTTCAACGACCCCAACCAGTTTGCTTATAAACATAGTAGGAGTACGTTAGATGCCGCTGTCGTCCTCCACCATAGCATAGTCTCTAGTTTAGATAAAGGAGCTAAATACGTTCGCTGTGCCTTCCTTGATTACACATCTGCATTTGACTCTGTTCCCAGGTCTCTCTTGCTAAGTAAGCTTGCTGCAACACAGGCTGAAAGCTGGACAAATAAGTGGTTGCATTCCTATTTTTCTGAAAGGAAGCAGTACACCGTCTACAATGGAAAATCCTCCACTACCTCACTTACTTTAGCTGGTGTTCCTCAAGGTGCTGTTCTTTCTCCCTTTCTGTTCTCGTTTTTCTTACATGACTTGCCTCATTCTGATGTAGCCACTTTTGTTAAATATGCCGATGACCTCTCGGTTTCTATGCCTGTCAACTCTCAGTCAGATTGTTCCAAATTAAATAGCTTTCTGTCGGAAATTAGTCAGTGGTCCTCTTCAAACGGACTTAAGCTTAATCCGTCTAAATGTCAGGTAGTCAATTTCACTTTCAGACGTAAATGTGACCTACAGCAACTAGTTAGCTCACATGGCCCCACTCTCATTGACGGCACAGAGGTTGAAAATACATCTAATGTCAAGTACCTTGGGCTGAGTTTTTCCACCGATCTTTCCTGGTCTTCCCACATCTTGCTAGTTACTAGAAAGATGTTTCGCTTAACGTTCTACATTAGGAAATTTAGGCAGTCTGGCATAAAGCAGTCTTTACTTTCTCAGTTTGTAAATTCTTGTATTCTACCCATCCTCCTTTACTGCTCCCCATTAGTCTTTCCTGGACTACTTAAGAAAGACTTTGCTTCGCTGAGAAGGGCACTAAAAGCTGTTAGTAGGGCAAGTGGGATATCGTTAAACCAACTGGTGAACACTATTGTAGATAGACATATTATATCATGTAAGAAACTAGCGAATACAATATTGTCGGACCCCGAGCATCCTCTCTATACGCATCTATCTCCTTGCATTTCATCTGGAAGAACTAGAAGCAGCTATAGGAGGCTATATGCTAGGACTACCAAATACAAAAAGTCCACAATACCATATCTGGCACAGCTGTTATGTGATGAGAAATCCGTTAGGTATGACACGATAAACTTACTGCGGCACTCTAACAAATAGTCCCATTAGGTTTTCTTTTCCTTTCCTCGTTACTACTACACTGTTGTTCTCATCTACTACCACACATCAACTTTATATTTCAAATCCTGTGTTGCATTGTTTGAAATGAAATACTCTACGCTGTTTTTTTCTTAATTTTTAATATTTATTTATTTTATTTATTTATAACTTATTTATTTTATTTTTATTTATTTATCTCTGATTTTTAAAAATCTTATATAATTTATGAGGTAATTAGATGCAATATACTGTAATGCACGCTGAAAATTCCATACCTGTACCACAAATACTGTTTGGAATAAAGCTATTATTATTATTATTATTATTATTATTATTAAAATAACCTTATATGATATGGAATAAGCAGAAAATGCTTTGATGTTTGAAACGATGAGTTCAGGGTTCTAAGCTCAAAGGGGATATCATCACTCACTGCTTAAATGCATGTACGTACATCTAGAGATGATGAGTCCCCAGAAAGGACGAAATGCAAAAAAAAATACTTTTTACTTTAATGCTTAGATATCATCGTAGCATTCAATGCTATGAGCCGATACGACAGTAGAAGTGGAGCATTTCCTTCCGACATAACCAATTTGCGGGGGCGGAGAGTACAGAATTAACCATAAAAAGTCAATATTAGCAGATTTGTTTACTGTACTAATAATTTGACTAATTCATTTCACTCTTATCATTTGGTAGTGTGTGAACTCACCTCAAGTCTCTAATACATCTTCACATCATTTTAGTGGTGGTTTCACTCATTATATTCCATTGCACATCAACTTATCATGTGATGAGAATAGACAGAAATATAAACAAAATATTTTTTCTAACAGTTGTTGAATGTAGGTAGGTAAAAAATGTTTATTTTGTTGACCTCTTCTTTGTCTTTCTCCTCCTTAACCAGACCGTGTCATCATGTTTTCGATTTTACAAAACCGTCAACCATGATGAAATTCTTCTCTCTCTCTCTCTCTCTCTGTGTAGATGTCTCTATCACTGACCAATCAAATTCATCCATGAGTTAAAACTCACTTGTTTTACAAACATGTCAATTGATTGATTCTATATGTTGGACCATGTGACTTTTTGTTTGTATGTAAGTGTATTTGTGTGTATGCGTCAGTGTGTGTGTGTGTGGTGGTGTGCACAAATCTCTATGCACACAGGTTCTTCAGATCACCCATTATCTTAGTGAAGAGTCTATATAAAAATGTAGCCTAACAATTTTTAACCAATCAAATTTGTTCTTAGTCAAGCACCAATCAGAATTCGTAAAACCTATTTATTATTAACACAGACTGAGGTCATTATAAAATATGATGTGTGGTGCAGTATTTGTCAATTTGTTTGATATGACGATTATTTGAATGTGGATACCTCGTCTCAAGATATTATTAATTGTCACTACAACAAATGGATTCTATTTATTCTTCTGCAAATGCAATTGTTAGTCGAGCACAGCCTAGTTTAGACGGTGGAATTATTACATTTATTCTTAATAATCTTGTACATTTGCCTACACCGGATTCATCGTCACCGTCGTCGTCTAATCAAACTACTACTACATCGGATTCCGAAGTAACTATTACCCATCATATATTATCAACTTATTCACGTACTGGTTATGCCCTAGGAATTGTATGCGCTGTATTATGGAGTATTATATTAATTATTATTGCTTGTTCAACATGTCGTCGACGTAAACATATTAAAAAGCATTCAGAAACTTTAATATATCTTGCACCTACAGATAATCATGTACTGAATACATCACGACAAACTATTAACACTGGTTCATTAACACATCATTCATCAAAATCAACATTTTATCGTACACGTGAACGTTTACAATCTAGTTGGATATGTTTAGCTATACAATTTGCACTGTTAACTCTCCTAGCTATTTTATTAGGTACAGCTGTTATCCTTGGCTTTACTGCCTCTGGTCAATTGCATACAAATTTAATTACAACACCAATACATGAAGAGTCTGTAGGCCGTTTATTAACTATTGGTGAGTTGGATATTACAAATCCGGATAAAAGACATATCTTTCCACGTCTGTTACGTGGTTTAGCTCAGATCAGAGCATATATTAGTGAATTTGTACCACAGACAAAAATTGACATAGAACCAATTGTTAAAGAATTGATTCAAGCCACAGAGAAGATGCAAGATCGTATGACAAATGAATTCAATGCCATCTTATTTAATGATATCGGTGTTACAGAAGCTTTCCAGTTGGGTGATATTCTCGGTGGACATGTTGTCACACTGATTAATAAGTATACAGCAATTGTAGAATCGAATAAAGAGTTTAAGAATATATTTGATCGTCTCAAAGTTGAATTTCAATCATGGCTACGACTAGTGAATGCAGATAGTCCACAGAATGATTATAATTGTGTTGACCAGTGTAGTGTTCTTCGATCAACTTTCATGAATAATGTCTCTGTTCGACCAGATTCATTTATGCCAGAAATTAATTTTGCTATCGCTTTAAAATTTTTGACAACTGATCGAAATCAAACTGCAGAGAGTATTCAAGCCCAATTGAATCATGGGAAAGAGTTAGCCAATCAACAATTAGAGAGAACTAAAAGTATGATGGCTGAAAAAATCAATATTCCTGAATCGATAAGAAATATGACCAATAAACAATGGGATCAAATTGGTTCACAGTTATCCGATGTTCTTTCGAGAATTGATCAAATTTTCATTATGATCACTAGATCAATTTCACCGAAAGTCTCTTCTGCATCTAGTCTCTTTTTAACATTGAATTTAATTTTTTGGTTCTCAATTCTATTGATCACAATCGGATTGATTTGGTTAATTATTCGTTATCATTTTGTTCCAGCTGAGCTTGGCTTACAAGCACGGAATCGAGTACGTCTGGGGGCTAGTGTGGGTTATTTTATTCTAGCGATAAGTATTATACTAGCCTGTTTATTCTACCTAATCGGTGGTTATCTCTACACTGAAGGCTGTCGTTATATCAATCCAGAACAGAATATGATCAATGTAACCGATTATGATCCAACTCATCAGAATTATATTCAAAAGACAATGCTTCCAGTTGATGCGCATATCAATGCATTTATTAATCGTAATTGGCCAGCTATTGTATCAATTTCCAGTCAACTGTCATCAATGCCTGTTCCGCATATACGTAGTCCAATCTATGGGATATTACATAATTGTCGTGATAATCAAGGTATTTTACAAGCTATGGATAGTATTAAAGATTTTGATATGAAAGCATTAAATGATCCACAAATGTCTGAAAGATTTGTCAACCTTGGTAAAGAGATTATGATCAATTCATTGGAATCAATCAACGTTGATGAAATGTTCCCTAAAGAGACCGATGATAATTTAGCTATGGCATCACGTTTAGATGATTTTATTGTAAATTATGAAGAGGTACGTTTACAATTGCCTAAATATTATTTAAGTATTCAATCACCAACTGATGAAGCGGGCAATTTTACTTTGTGGTCAGTAGATGATATGTGGAAAGCTTGGGAAATGTATTACACAGATATATTGAGTTATCGATTGTCAGTGGAACAAATGAACAAGTTGAATTCAGCTACAGAGAAAGTTAGACGTACTCTTATCCAATTGGATAGTATTATCAAAGATATTGATGAGAATTTAATTGTTCTGTCTAGCTTAAAAAAGAGTGCTCCACTTGTTATGAAACTTCAAAATAGACTAATTGATTTAAAAGCCATAATGAATAATAAAACACATTTAATCCATCGAGCTGTTCAATTGTTCGATGAAAATATTAAGGCGAAAACGCCCGAGGAGGCGATGAATCTAATTGTGGAGTATGGGCCGAAGATTATGTCGAAAGTTGGTCAATGCCGCCGGGTATACAGTGCTGTTGATGATGTGAACAATGCTGTTTGTAATGGATTTGTAAGTGTGCTAAACGGATTCTGGTTTTTAATGGGTTGGGTTACACTAATCGGTACATTGATTATTACATTCAGTCTGTTATTATTAATGCATAAACCACAATTTAATCAGGCCAGTGATAAAGCCTATCGACGGAATATTATGAATCGGAAAGCGATCAAGTCGAATACTACAACGGCGACAACAGTTACCGAGAATTGTTGTAGTCATCCTAGTGAATTAGAAGCATTGACTACTTCACATTCGCCTGTTATCAAGTCAAATCCTTCAGAAGTATGAAACAAACAGATGTTCTGTCTGTCTGTGTGTGTAAATTTTACGTTTTGTTGGTTATTATAATTACTACTGTGTATGATTTCAACGTCTTGTAAGTTTTGACACTCTCTTTTTTCTGTTTGATATTTGATTGGAGTATGTATACAAAAGTATTTCGTTTTTACCTCATGTTGGTGCACCCCACCCTGGGGCTCCCCGTCGCAAACATTTAATTTTTGTTTTATATATGCCAAATCTGTAACCAATCACATTTTGATTAGTTTGAATTTTATATTCCACAGTAATTCAATCGATTTTTATAAATGCTCCATTCTTCTTGTGTGCATACTTTTGTTCTAAGAATTAGACGACCGACCTACTGTTTGATTGGTAAAGGGAATCCTCTTCTCTTTTTTAAAAAAATGTTAATTATGTCTATCCCCTTCCCCTTCACATCCCGCTTTTTTGCATTATCTACTGTTTCACAAAAATACAACTCTTACTTCTTCTGGAAGAATATTCACCGATAAAAAAACGCATTGATTGATTGTGTAATTCACTGTATTTCCATAGAATACTCTTTCTTTGGGGATTGTTGTATTTTGTATTGATCTTCGTTCGCCCTCCCCTTTTTACCCCCAAGTAAAATTTATTGTAGTTCTGGTACTTGAGATCCTAAATGGAAAGGAAAGTGGTCAGATTGGTCAAGAGGTGAATGTAGATGACGAGGATACCGCTGTGTATCTTTCTTGTAGAATTATTCTTATCGTCTGTAATATCCGCGTGATGATGTAATCAACTGTTACTATATCCATAATACCATTATTGTTATTACTATTATTGCTACTACCACTATGTGTACTAGGTATTTTTCCACAAGTTTTATTTTTTAGAAACTGAAACTTTTCTCTCATAATGAATATTTTTTTACCCTTTCAGCACCACCATCAGATGTGGTTTTTGATTACCGTTTGTTTGTTTGTTTTTATACTCTTTAAAAAGGAACTTGTTTCTGTGTGGTTATTCCTTTGTTTCCAATTTAGTAATATATATTTATTTGATTATTTATGTATAAATGTGGGTGATTGACAGAATATATATATTATTAATAAAACGAAATGAAATTACTTAATTCTATTTCATGCAAACTAATTGTTTTCATTCTTGTCAGCCGTGTATAGTTAGTCAGTCAGTTGGTTATACAGTACTCCTCTTACTCGTAACAGATTCTTCATGTATACTCGGACACTAGTCAGTCTGTCTGTTTTCGACATAGAACTTTGCACAAATGTGCGGAAGTTCAAGTCGCCACATTCCGTGTAGCACGCGAAGCAAGAGAAGAAAGTATAAGAAAAGCATAATAGAAACAGTGAGCAGAGGTGTGAGACAAAGGAGTAATAAAGAAATACAAAACAGTTTCATTGAAGATCATAAGTCACAAGGAGTGGATGCATCTGCGCTAGCCACTGAGAACGATTTTGAGCCATGTCACCAATTGTTTCCAACCATAGATTTTTACCGTCCCGAGGACCCCAGCCTGGAAGTCTACACCTTCCTACGTGGCTAAGACCAACTGTTGTGGATTTCATTGACTGGTGAGGCCAAGTTTTTGTTTGACCGCCGCTAGCTTTTTTCCAGCCTGACCCTATATCCGCTAACATAGCTCGTCGAGGGAGGCGATGACTTGGCATACGTAACACATGTCCTAACCATCTCAGTCTTTGTAGCTTCACGACTTCGTCGATTGATTTCCCCTGTTTACCTAGAACTCTACGCCTAACCTCCATGTTGCTCACCTTATTATGCCACTTTACACGGGAAATAGAACGCAGGCACCTATGATCAAAGGCAGCTAGTCTTTTCATGTCTTCCACTCTCAGTGACCAGGTCTCACAACCATAAAGGAGGACGGAGCGGATTGATGATCAGTACACCCACCCTTTGGTCAATCGTCAGATGTCACGTCTACGCCAGAGACGGCGTAAACTGGAATATGCGAAACTAGCCCCTTGTATTCGTGCTGAGATTTCGTCAGAGATCAACCCGTTGGCACTGGCTGATGGTACTTCCCAAATAAGTGAAGCGGTCAACGTGCTCTACCACTTCACTTCCTATTTTTAAACTAGGCGTCGATGTAGTTCAGTCCTGTATCATCATCTTGCATTTGGCGGGAGCGAATCGCATGCCAAACATTCGTAGATTGCGGCCCAAGGTGTTTAGAAGACTAGTCAGTAACTAGTGTGATGTATGTCTGGTCCTTCGTTTGGTGCATTCTAGGTGTAGCTGGCCATCACGGTGCACTTTGATTTCATGATGCATTAGATGGTGGGAGGCGATCGGCCACAGGAAGCCTTACTCAGGACCTAGGTTTCGTGCTAGTTGGCAGTCACCAGTCAATCAGGTAGCAAGGCGTATCTGCAACCGCGTCACCACCTTCAGTCAGAGATGTTAACACTGAGCTTTTTGTATTTCCCTTCCCAATGAATGAAAAACAAAACGACATCGTTGTTTTTACTGACATTTCGCTATTTAATGCTAATAGGATTTGATAGTGTGAAATATTCCCATATTATAAATTAAAAGTCAATCTGAACGGAGAATATTCTTTTCAATAATTTCTCTACTTCAGGTTCTTACAACTATAAAATATAAAAATAATATTTGTTGGTCGTTACAATAAAGGCCAGTTATGCGGCGGATACATTTTTTTTAAACGTAGAATAACAGATTAGTTAGTTATGGGGTGTCAAAATAAATATTCGTATTTGTGTAACAAACGTGGTAGGCTGAAATCGATTAGAAAATATTGTAAAACGGGAGACAATGGTGGTGATTAATCAAAATAGATTTGTAGAGTGTGGGGTAGGAAAATTGACAAGTAAGTCAGTTCAAGGTTATGAAAGGTGTCAGGTGAATGAGTGGCTAGTACAAAGTGGTCTGTGTTAAACAGGAGATAGTAAGACTGTGATGAGAAGTTCATAATGAGATAACGAATATGTTAAATGAAACAGGTGGAGGCATATATTGAGAAAACAGATAATATCACTAATAATAAGTCCGTATAAATGAAAAATTCGATTGTATTGAGGGAATGTTTGCATAAAGGGCATATATTATGACGGATAATAATATTTGTAATAATAACCATAGTAAAATAAAAACCAAGAGGGTTAAGGGGAAGGGGAACTCTTGGTGAGAAGAAAAATCGTCGATCCAAGTTTGGTCACGGTAGGAACAGCGTCTGGACGTGTTCTTTTTGGATACAAAGTTCCGGTGTAATCGATCTTATGTCCTGTTTAACACAGACCACTTTGTACTAGCCACTCATTCATCTGACACCTTTTATAACCTTGAACTGACTTACTTATCAATTTTCCTACCCCACACTCTACAAATCTATTTTGATTAATCACCACCATTGTCTCCCGTTTTACAATATTTTCTAATCGATTTCAGCCTACCACGTTTGTTACACAAATACGAATATTTATTTTGACACCCCATAACTAACTAATCTGTTATTCTACGTTTAAAAAAATGTATCCGCCGCATAACTGGCCTTTATTGTAACGACCAACAAATATTATTTTTATATTTTATAGTTGTAAGAACCTGAAGTAGAGAAATTATTGAAAAGAATATTCTTCGTTCAGATTGACTTTTAATTAATGCTATTAGCTTTATCAAGGTAGCATTATTAAACCGGAATTTACAAAATCCACTCAGCATATATATAACAGAGAGTTAAGAGGTGAGAAAATAGACTACTTAGGTCAAGTTACAGGGACATATTGAAAGTCAAAATAACAATGAAGATCAATCACTAAACCAAATAACAAAGGTAATAGTACATCTGTTATGATATCAAAATAAAGTTTACTGACTTGATTATCGTTCGTCAGTCTGGGGTCATTTTTCGTTGTCAAGTTGGTCATTTGTTAAAGACAACAAAGCCAAGTGTAGATTGTTGGATTTGATCAGTGTGTAGAATTATGAAAATAGTGTGTGTTTACATAGTGAACTTGCTTATCACATTCATGTTGATTTTGTCACTTCATGGGGTAGGGGAAGGAGGTGTTGTAACCATGTCAGATTCTGTTTTAGTCCATCATTTCTATTCAGCTCAGACAATTCGAATTCTACTTGATATGAAGTGCTTCTGATATTAGACGTTCTTTGTGATTTCTGAAGTTTTTCTGGATTATTTCAATATTGTCGAAATCAATTTTGTGGCCTGATTCTATAGCGTGTAGACGAGCTATGACTGATGATTTTTCAAGCTTTTCTAGTTCACTAACTGGATTTCTCGGCGGTCGAACAGTGGCGGCTCTACGGTGTTCATTTCTTCTGATTTTGATTTCTCGAGATATTTGTCGAATGTATGTAAACACACACTACTTTTATAATGTTACACACTCACCAAATCCAACAATCTACACTTGATTTTGTTATCTTAACCAATTGACCAACTTGACAACGAAAAATGACCCCAGACTGACGAACGATGATCAAGTCAGTAAACTTTATTTTGATATCATAACAGATGTACTATTACCTTTGTTATTTGGTTTAGTGATTGATCTTCATTGTTATTTTGACTTTCAATATGTCCCTGTAACTTGACCTAAGTAGTCTATTTTCTCACCTCTTAACTCTCTGTTATATATATGCTGAGTGGATTTTGTAAATTCCGGTTTAATAATGCTACTTTGATAAAGCTAATAGCATAATCATTAAATAGCGAAATGTCAGTAAAAACAACGATTTCGTTTTGTTTTTCATTCATTAGGAAATACAAAAACCTTCATTACAATGCATATCATGTACCCAATGCCCAAATTTTTTCAAACTGTTAAAAGTGAACTTGGTTTAGACTCATGTTACCACTGAGGAGCTATTCGGGCTCACGACTGATCACCTCCTGTAGGACTCTATTGGATATTTTTGAATGAACACTGGTGTGATGTTTTTCTAGTCCTTTCTTTTTGGTGCAGACTGAATTCTATCAGTCAGTCAGGCTTGCA